TTATTAAGGAAATGTTCTAAAAGTAAAAGCAAATATCAAAGTTAATTAGACATTGAGTCATGCTTTTTGCACTACTTTTAATCGAGTTTATATTAATTTCTAAATTATAGTTCATTTATTGTTATTATAATCAGATTTCATGTATAATTAGAAGTAATTTGTATATATGGTATATACATGCATGCATGTATTTTATTTCTATATATACTTTTTTTTACTAAATAATTTAGCCTTGAAATATGTCTAAATCTTAATCTAATTTTATCCTTAATTATTTGACCAAACTGATGATTGTTGTGTCTCGGTGATAAATGGCCTCTAGTTTTCTCTGGACTATAATGGAAGGATAGGGATGAGTTTTGAATGGTTCACAACGGATTTTGTTGACTTACATGATGAATAATTGCGTGAGAATTCAAGAAAGCAGGATATTTTCAATTCAATGTCTAGGAAACTAATTAAACAGCCAAAATTGGTTATGGCCCTCAATTGAAAGATACTTGCCGACTTTACCTTTATCAATAAGAATGTTTACCAAACCTAGAAGAAACTAAACTGGAAACAACCATATTGCACACATCAATGCAAAATCATTGTATTTGGTGCTTGTTTCGCACAGCTCGGATCTTTTTCAACTCTTGTCCGTTTGTTATGGGAAAGTACTTTCACTGGAAAATTTTGCAGTTTAAAGTTGACTAATTGCAGTGAAGTTTTGTTAAATTTGCTTACTTATTTTTATACTTGGAATGAAGTTGACATCACATGTTCTACTGTTCAATTTCCAGATTGCTAACTTATACAGTATTAGATAGCACAAGCTTATAATTAAGGGGAACTGGTTAAGGATTCAAGGATGATATTCCACTTACTCCAATAAATGATGAAGTTTTTTTAAGGACATGTTTGGTTTGAGGGGAGGAGGAGGATGAAATCTCAAAATCTTAAGGAGTTGATTGGATGAAATAATCTCTTATCCTCTTTTCTTTTTTTATTTTTTTCAAACTACTAAACAAATTATTATAGGCTCCTTAATTTATATTTATAGTAATAAATTTTTTTTAAACAAGTATAACTTTTGAGGGGAGGGAAAAGGGTTTAAACCTAGTTTATAAGAGAGGGAGATGCACCCTTAACCAAATGATATCTAAGATTAGGTACTATGGTAATCAAATTGTTTTTGTTTTATTATTAATCTTTTGGTATTCGGTAACCACGTTGAATTCTGATTAATTTAGAATCGAGCTGTGTTGGATCTTATTTGAGGGAAACTCTCTCAATACTTGTTTCTCCATTCACAGTATTCAAACTTGAGATTTTATTTAAAGAAAACTGAACTCTTTTCAATTGGACCAACAGATCGTTAGTTGATAATCAAATTGATACTAAGTCCTTTAGGATTATAAAAAAGTGAAAATTATAACAAGACATTCAATACCAACTATGATAAATTCTTGTGAAACATATATTATAGGCAAAACCATAAGTTAAGCCTCTGAACCAACCCCAGAATCGCTATTAAGCCCCTAGACTGTAATTGATGCATATAAGCCCTTGAACTCGGGGATCAAAGCAATTAAGCCCTTCTTCTTACGCCAACTTAACTGCCGTTTGGGACTGCCCGCCTGACTTAACTGCCGTTGAGGACGCACCTCGCTTGGCTGCTTGGATGGCAAAAAATTGCCATGTCATGCTTACATGGCAAGGGATTTAACATTTGACCTGAATTTTTGATTTATTTGATAATTTAAT